ATTCGGGGGTGGTGGTGGTCGCCGAGGTAGTGATAGCGTTAGCTGCAGTGGTGTTAGGAGCAGCAGCAGCAGCAGCAGCAGCAGCAGGAGGAGTAGTAGTAGTAGTAGTAGTAGTGGTGGTAGTGGTAATGGTAGTGGTAGTGGTAGTGGTAGTGGTAATAATCGTAGTTCCAGCAGAAGTGGATTCATCGTCCTCATCCCCGTCGCCGTCCAACATGTCATGTTGTTGTATGTTCCATTGCAATAGTAGCGATGCTTGTCCTAAGATGTGATTTCCTAGGAACATCACTGATTTGGAGCAACTGCCATTCGCACAATCTTCTCATATGGTGTTGCAAGAAGCAGCATGGCGAGTGAAATGGCACAACTGGGACAGAAGTGGTTCTCATAGCTCATAGCAAGAACTATGATCAAAAGAACTGGTAGTATAATTGGCCCGCGGATTTCGGAACAAAGCCAACGAAGATGAACACTTGCAGTATCTGCACAACAACGGCTATTCCGAATGCTACCTACTCCTTTAACCGTCCACTGTTGGACATGTCACTATACCAGTCTCTGCTGTTCTGGATAATCGGATAGCTCCACAACAGATGGCCTGCACTGGAGCCGCAGGGAAGTGTCAATGATTCAACAGGCTGGCGACAAAACACGAAGTGTTGCCCTCAGCCTCTGTGAGCTGGCCTCAATGCCAGTCTTTTATTGCACGAGACGGCTTCCGTCTCCATTTTCGAGTCTCCATGTTGCTCCGGGGTCCCTCTTAGAACCACATCTAGGGACATATAGGAACCAGCAGGAGGCCTAACATGGAGACATGCGAACGTCCTGAAATTATGAAATTGACCTGCGTCCTCGTCACAAACTGCTGTAAAACGGCGACATCCTCGGCCACACGGATGCCTGAGGTTTTCGAGGTCCCCGGCCACAGGCCCCGACGAATGCGCTGTGACAGCCAATCGCGGGGGCCTGTCATGGACGTGGGCTGCGCAGTTAGTGCTGAGAACGCCCCGGAGGGGAGCCCTTCGGCTTTCCACGGGACTTGCCGACATTTGGGGGGTGTTCTACAAAGCGCCTCGTAACACTGGGGTGCATGGCCTTCTGAGCCGTCTGAACCAAGCAGAAAATCCTCGTCAAGGGCATGTCCCTCCCCGATCACTTCCACGTAAGTTTGGCGAATGTGTGTTCCTAGACCCTCGTGACAATTCTTGAAATTCTTGAGTTAATAATTCCTTCATGTGTGTCATGCGTCCTTTTCAGGCATTATCTGACATGATGAATAAGGTGATTGACTGGTGCCACCAGGACTATGGTTGCTCGCCTTGTAACCCTAGACATCCGCCGCATCCAAAGCCTTTGTTCCTAGGTGAGAAAATGCAGGAGGAGTTGATTGCTGTGGCACAGTGGCGAGAGGGTGAGGGTTCTTTGGAAATAGTAGGAACTCACAACCAAAGTAGCCATGGCAGCTTCCAAAGATGTAATAGTTCACGTCTATGTCAACGTATCTTCAACAAGCTTGTGAACAGCCGTCCCATGACACGACTGCAAAACAAATTTGCTGCGGTACTATGGACGAAGACTATGAGGACGACTGTGTTGGTAATCCTGGCGGCGGTGCTGCTGCTGACGATGATTCTGAAACAGACGATGATGGCGGTGATGCCTTCAGAAACAGACGATGATGGCGGTGATGCCTTTTCCGGTGCCGCTGGGGATGGCGATGGCGGTCGGACGCGGTCAGGATGATGCCGATGATATTGATGAGCGTAATGATGAAGGTGATGATGACGACGGTGGTGGTCTAGTGGTGGTGGTGGTGGTGACGACGAGCGCGATGTTTGCTTCAATGAGGGCCATTCTATAATCAGATTACACAAGGCCTCAAGAGAAGAAGCCGTGGCGCATGTCCTAAGCAAGTTTGGACGTTTTGTTGAAGAGCCACCCTTCGTCGCTTGCACCGTGAAGCAGATCTGACGTGCCACATCCACGTAGCACCAAACTCAATCCAAGTGTCCATGCTGTGTGGGCGCCGAGTGCACATCCCATGTCCAATGCTTCTCACATTCAGAGCCAACGACCTGAAGTCTTCTCCTGCCTTGTCATGGAAGTCCATCTCATTCCTAACTGTCAGATAGCACCGCTCCCAGGCCCACCGAAGACGGCACGGCGAGAACGAGCTGCGCCGGTGTCTGCCGGGTTCCTAGAATTTCAGGGGTGGTGAGAATACTGCATAATACTGCCGTATGACAGGTTGAGTCTATGCAGATGTTGGGATTTCTCGCAAGGCTCGCAGGCAGAGCAGATGTTGTTGTGCCTCGGCTTGCTCAAGTATTCGAGGTCACCCACACCCAACCGAAAGGCACATCTCCGACAGCCCACGGTACAGTGTCTTGGCTCGGATTTTCGTTTGGACTTCCCACTTCCCATCCCACTCTGCAAACCTGCGGCTAGGGCAGAGTGGGACCACAGCTGCTCTGGGTGTGCGAGACTGCATCCGGCCGCCCCAGGCGACGCGCCCGAGCTCTCGAAATCCCCTCAGCGCCAGCACGGTTGCCACGAACTCAGACGGAGTTCTGCGACGGCGTCTACTTGCGGAACAGTGACATATAGGCTATCTGGAATATGTGTTTTGTAACCACTTCGGCGGCAGCGGCTACTTGCGAGAACGGACAAACCGTGCACCTGATCTAAGAGCTTTGTAACACTTTCGGCGATGGAGTCTACTTGCGGAACTGAGACGAATAGGCTGTCTGGAATATGTGTGTTGTGGCCACTTTAGCGGCGGCGTCTACCGGAGCAAGCGCAAGACCGTTGCCACGACCCGTCGTGGCCGGTGTCACTTTCGGGGAAAGCACCACACCCACTGTTCAAAGGCCTGCGTTCATTTCGGAGAGGGACACGGGACCTGACTAAAGGTGTGTATTTAACCACCTTGGATCGCTAGCGTTCGGAGGGGGAAAAAACAAGTTTGATGATGCTTGGGGGGGTCGATCGCTTCCCGTTGGCCTGTGCGTTCGAGGGTGGTGCTACCGCTTCCGGTCGTGACTTCTTTGCCTTCGCCCTAACCGGTGCGTTCAATGGGGGTCAAGTCTAGTAGCTTCTCGGGAGGTTGTCGGTTGTTTTGGCTTCTGCATTTTTGGGCTTCGTTTGATTTCGATTGTAAGGCACCCAAGACGCACACTACGCTTCAGCTATCCGTTACTCTTGCACCACCGCATCTCAGGACAGCGATGCTGCATTCGGCATGGATACAACTCATGTTTAGAAGACGTCAGCTTGCTGGACCAGCTGAAGTTTGCTTGCTTCTGCTCAGGCTCGCTGATTCGGACCTCGAGAAGCAGAGGTCTCGACATCTCGAAATTGACTGAGGAAGACACCAAGCCGATGTGTTTACGACTCCGGTGCAGGCTTTCTGAGGCTTCACGGTTCGGGGTTAAACCGGAGTGTGTGCAAGTCAATTTGTAGTTTTTTGATCACCCATCTCACCTGAGCTGGGTTGCAATGGACAGCCAAATTCGATGCACCCTGGTGTCGCGAAATTCCACACGTGGCACAGATTTGGTAACGGTCGCTGCCGTCTCTGCGGTCGAGTTCAAGTCATGCAGCTTCTCGTGGCTAGCATGTTCGGCATGATTATATCAGGTCGTGACAGGTCTCCCTTCGGGAACACTGCTGCCGGGTCGGGGTCTGCAAGTGCTTTCATCCGCAGCTTCAGCCTCGTGCAGCTCGCCACACATCCTCGTGGCCATGACGAAGTCCACGCCCCTGGTGGCAGGCAGAGCAGGGGTCCGTCTCGTGATTGTTCTTTCTTCTGTCTTCTCCTAGTGATTCGCTACATTGTCTCGGCTTGGCAGCCAGCCTCCGCAACAGGTGCCTTAGGCACTGCGCTGTACTTCACATCGCCGTCCTTCGTGCCACCAGCAGCGCCGCATGCCGCCACGGCAGCCCCTGAGAACATCCAGAGGTGCTCGTGAGTTTATGATCGAGACCAGAAAAACTGGGTGTGCTCAAGGGACTTGGTTATGTCTCGACCTGACATGACTTGCATCAAGCCTTGTTGTTGACATCGCGCAGGTCTGCGCCAGCTGGGGGTGCCTTTGGCCTGGGCGCCACGGCCGTCACTGCAGCTGCTGCCATGGGCTCCGTGGCTGCGGCGCGCCCCTCGCCTCACAGCAGGGCTTGCACCGAGGTGCAGCATTTCTTTGACCAGTAAGTTGGACGGAGGGTCTCTTTCCCTGACTGAGGTCAGCGTGTGGCGCGGAAGGCAGAGGCTGTGGCCAGACTGCAGCAAAGCAAAGCTTCCATCCTGTCGGCAGACACCGAGCCGATCCGAGGTGTTGGAGGAGGCAGAGCCCCCCTTCGACCCCAAGAAGGAGCCAGGCCTTGTCGGGTCCTGTTCCACTGCCCGCGCGGGAAGACATGAGCTCCAAAACAGAAGACCGCAGGCCATAGGTCTGTAGCAGATAGCAGTTAGCGCTCCGTTCGGTTAGCTGGCCCACCAGCTGCAGGTGTGACGCTTCCACTGTTCTACTTCGATCCGCTGGGCTTTGCCAAAGAAGGCGATCGTGAAGGCATGGATTGGACAGGTGATACCTCTCTCAAGAGGAAGGGCACCGTGCCACGAGCCCTTGCCTGGCACCCGCGAATCGCTTGCCAAGCGCTTTGTTTGCCAGGCTTCTACCAGCTGCGTTCTGCGGAGCTCAAGCACGGACGTGTGGCGCCTCGATCTGATGCTTTGGAAGGTTGCGCGAAATAATAATGTAGACTCACGTAGACTAGCATGCCTACTAGTGCCACCTTTCAAACAGTTTTCGAAGCCTTACTTGGGTCTGGAACTGAGTGCCATGCACGTGAGATGAGTGGCGCAACCGAGGCGATGATCGCCTCCCTTGGCATGGTCTTCCAGCACTGGTTCCGCCTTCCAGGCCTTGAAATTCAATTCAGCAAGGGCTGCGGCGGTTGCGAGGCTTGGGATTTGTAGATGCCATGAGGCCACTTGAGCAGTGTTTTTTTTTGGGTTTGATCGCTGCAGATCTGTTGTGCAGTTCTTCTAGCCGCTCTTGCCCTTCCCTGGCTGACTTTCCCGTCTCAAGGCTTTGAAGACGTACCTTCCGGAATCCAGGCTGCCATCACACCCCCGGGTACCATGACTGCAATCAGCTTTCCTAGCCAGGCTGGTTTCTCGTTGCTCTTTTCAGAAGAGGTGGCATACACAAGGCTGGCTCAGCAAGTCGCAGGATCGAGCGAAGGAGCCAGTCTACGTTACATGCTGATGGAAACCTGGAGCACAGGCACCTTTGGGCTGCTCGCCATTGTGGCCTTGCGGCTTGGCGGCGAGCATCTTTCTGCGAAGTGGTCCGACAGAGCACCACAAGAAAGCGTCGGTTACCTGCATTGGGAGGGAAAACATCCGTGTGAGAGCTCGCCCGGAACATGTAAAGAGTCCTTTTCCTAGAACCCAGGCACTTTCACTTCCGGGCACACTGCCATAGCTCCCGACCTGATTTCAAGAACTCAGAACTGCTCCTTCGCACTTCGACCATTTGCTCCCCAGGGGCGGAGCCCTGGAGTTCACCATCTTCAAGCAGGACCCCGAGATGGACCCAGGCGAAGCTGGATCGGGGGAGGAGCCCTGTTCCAGCCGCAGGCTTTCTGCGGCGAGGGTTACAGGGTCGTGCTTGGTCGCGGCTTTTGGAGGTATTAGGAGGTGTTCAGCAAAAGCAGCAAGTGGTTGGGGAGAAGGGTGGGGTGTGTCTTCCTTGTCACGGCCATGCACATATTCACTTCAGAAGCAATAGTCTGGGCGACCCCAGGGCACCAGAAGCTGCGCCTGAGCCTTGCAGAGTTTTGCAGGCGACTTCGGAGATCCGGCAGGCTTTGGCCAGACTTACACGGAGTGGAAGGACTGGGGTTGCAGGGTGCTTGGAAGAAGGATCGCTGGAGTCAGGAAGTCTTTATCATATAATACAATATAATGTATAATGTAATGTAATGTAATGTAATGTAATGTAATGTAATATGCTTCAAAGACGTCCGCTTGCAGCTTGCTACCTGTTGGCATGGGCGCCTGGAGACCCGCTCGGCTGAACCGCCCAGAGATGCAAGTCCTAGAAAGTCGCTGAACCCAGTCCCAAATGAGCAGAAGCCCACCCCAAGCGCAAAACCTGCCATTCCGACAAATCAATGTGGATATGGTGAAGAGGATCGGGAGTTGAACAACTGCCGCGGCCTGGCTTTGATTGAAGAGGTTTCGGGGGCACGCCTCGGACAGCCCTTGGGCCACGGGGCGAAACTTTGCGGATGCGCGGGTCGAGTTAAAGGATTACGAAAGGTTCGGGTCGGGGGAGATCGACTTTCGCAGGGTTTTCAGACAGCGTGTCACCTCAGGCATGGGTATGGTGTCCTTCCTTGGCATCGTCGTTGCTGAGCCCCTTGGTGCACTGCACACTTAGTGGCTGCAAGGCTGGGAAGTTTGTTGATCAAGCCGGCATCCATGAAGCTGTCGAGTTGCAGACGTGCTGTATGGCAAAGCGTTCAGGTTTTGATCCAGTTTGAAGAGGGATACTTCGCAGAGCGAGCCTCATTCGATACCAAGGCTTGCTACCGGCAAGGATGGTGTGGAACAGATCTGGACTCCCCTGGGAAATCTCAAGCCGGAGTGAGCGACCCTACCGTTCTCTCAGAATCGGAGGAGCACAAGTTGACAAAGCCAAATTGCAGGAGTTGACATGGCACTAGTCACTAGTCGATCCGACCTGGTGTGAGCTCAATGGCCGCAACCCGTGCTGGCATCGCCAACGTTACAATGAAGGCGTTTTCACTCATTGTGTTTCTTTTGAGCCTTGTAAGTTAAGCGTGAAAGCTGCTGGCCAACTCCTGCATTCCACACCTGAGTCGCCAGACTCAATCTGAAACTCTTAAGCAGTTTTCAGGAACCACAGCTTTGGTGAAGCCACGTCGAGAAGAGTGCTTGGGCATGGATGGGCTAACTATGGCTAACTCCTTGAACGCCAATGAACATCTGGATGGAGAGCGGGGCCTGTCGCCAAAGCGGCTTCAAAGCGGAGAGAAACCAATTTTCAGAGCTCCTGCTCACACCGCATTTTCACAGATACTGGTGTGCTTTGCTAGTTCGAGGCTAAAATTGAAACTGTGCGGCCCGTGCAGACCCCAAGCATCGTGATCCAATCGAGCACAGCTGTCTGAACCGCCTTGTGCGTCAGCTTGGCCCAAAATTGAGAAAAGTGCTCCGAGAAAGTTGAGCTCATATAGCTCATGGGGTGGCGATACAAGGCTCGAACATGCATTGCATCGCCACCCCATGAGCTCCACTTTCTCCCGAGCGCTTTGCGCTCATGGCGGCTGTAGCCCGGCTGATAGGCAGTGCTTCATCTGCGCATGTCGAGTAGACATCTCGACCTGCCAGAAAAAGATGGCAGCTATCCGCATGGCCATGACGAAGTCCGCCCCACTGGTGGCAGGCAGAGCCACGGCTTGCTTTTCTTCGTCTTCTCTTCGTGATTCGCCATTCTGGCTTCACTGGCCAGCTAGCATCCGCGGCAGGTGCCTTATGCACCGCGCTGTGCTCCAGGTCGCCATCACCAGCGGAAACTGCCTGCCACCACTGCAGAGCCCGAGAACATCGTGAGTTTAGCGGAGGTCCAGAATGATGACATCGTGTGATCGCAGATGTGGGCTGCGAGAGCCTTTCTTCTCCTTGCGCCTGCATATGGCTGCCCTCATTGCCTTGTACCTCTGGGCCTTTCAACATAGAGCCTTCTCTTCCGACTCATGTGTTCAGCACTTGGAAGACATCGGACTTCCCACTTGTGAAAACCCCGGCACCGGCCATCATGCGCATTGGGGTGCTCCGACTGCCCATCGCCTCCATCGCACTGAGTGGTTCTTGAAGAACCGTGGGCCGCAGTCGGCGTGCGAGTTGCGAGAGCCGAAACTCCTGCATTCCCCACCTCAGCTTTTCGTGAAGCCACACCGAAAAGAGTGTATGGTATGGACGGGCCAACTCGCTGAGGAACAAATGGAACTCTGGATGGAAAGCATGGCTTTCCATCTCCGAAGCGGCCTCAAAGTGGACGGAAGCCAATTTGAAGAGCTCCTGCTGCTCCTGCTCACTGCGCATATTCACAGACCGTGGTGTGACTTGCTGGTGCGAGGCTAAAAGAACCAGTGCGGTCCGTGCAGACCCGAGCACCGCTGTCAGATCCACGTAAGTGCGGACAGCCGATTGCATCAGGGCACGCACTTACACTCTCCTTTTTGCCAGTTTAAAAAACCGATGCAACAATGCCGAGTCTGCTTTGACGGTTGCCAGACCTTTGGCTCGAGACGTGAAGCCCAGCGAGTCGGGGTCCGCGGGGCACGAGGATCCATCCGTATCTCGGCAGAGAGAGGGTTTTCGGAGAGTGGTTCAGGGGCTTGTTGGGGTCAGGGGTAAAGGGATCTTGCAGGAATTAACGAGGGATCTCAAGTTTTGGGGCTAGATTCTGGCTAGATTTGAGTGGTGTTTAGGGCAACGGCTTGTCGGGGCTTCGGACTTCGGGGCGGGAACTGCTGTGTTGAATTTTTGACCAGTTTTCTGGGCTTCCTGACATCATTCTGTAGAGACTTCTTATTCCGTTCTCTCCTCCCGGCTCACTTCGTTTCGTAGACATCCGAGGCCATGGCGATGAAATATCTTGGAGCTTACCTCATGGCCGTGCTTGGTGGCAAGGAGCTTTGGGTGCGGTCCGCGTCTTGAGAGAGGGGGTGCTTCCAGTTGGGTTTAGGCTTTGGGCGTTTGAAGGTCCGGGGCTTGGGGTTTGTGGCTTCCTGTACTGGTAGCGTGGGTGGGCAATGTTACACAATACTCATGAAGGTCGTGGTTACCCCTGTTGCGAGTGGTACTTGCAGTCAGCTCATGCGATGACGCCATTCGCAAGGTCTCAGCCCGGAGCCCCGAATATCCATTTGTTCAGCTATGGTTTGTAATCGCGTGGAGGAGAGCCCTTCTGCGGAAGACATCAAGACGATCCTGGAGGCCAGACTTGCCATTTCGAAGGAAGTGCGGCGGCTTGTCCAGGTCTCATGTTGAGCTTCGGGCGTGGGATGGTCATTCAGTCCTTCTTTGGGCCAGGCCGGAGGAATCAGCTACGAAGACGACCTCATCACCAAGATTTGCGAGCGAATGGAGGGCAAACAGGCCAGGGCCGCCAAAACCCGGGCCCCGGGCCCAGTAACCCTTTCGTCTGCTCCCAGCCTCCAGGCCCATGAGCTGATCAAGGAGGGCTTCGGGAAGTTCGCCGCCTGCGGCGGTGGCGGCGGCGGTGCCTCGGATTGCGCACAGTTGCGCTGCTGTGTCGATATGCTGGCGGCTTCAGAAACATCTCCCTGTACTGAGAAATGAAGGTGTGTCTTCATTTTGTGGAGGCTCAACGATCAGGGCTGCCGGGTTATCGGAAGAACCACTGAGTTGATTGCATTTTGGGAACTGCCCCACACCTCTCGCGCAAGAGATTCGTTTTGACAGCATTTTTGGCCCGCGACTCGCCGTGACTCGCCGATGGTATTTCTCAAAACCAGGTATTCAACGGTGTAGATAGAAAGTGGGAATGTGGCTGCCAATTCAAAATGATACTCCCGAGATCAAGTGGCTTTATTCCTTGATCACATGTTCGGTGAGAGCCAGGCATTCTAGAAGTTTCCTGCATTTTCGCGTTGGGCACAGCATGTGTCGAAAAGCGTTGTGATTTTAGCTGCAGATTTTTGAGCAGTTCTTCTTGCTGTAATGCCATAAAAATGTCAAATCTGTGCATGGATCGGCACAAGCAGTTCAATCTGTCATGTAGCAGCCGTGAGTCGGAGATCTTTAGTCTCAGACTTTCAAAGCACTTCGTGGATGGATGTTGGTTCACGCTTCGACTTTCTCAGGGTTTCACCACTGGGGTTTTGGGCAGATACAGGCAAAGTCCCGGAAAGCCTTCAACAATCACCGTCTAAGCTGGAGGCCGACGAATTAACATAGACACACCCCGTGCGAGCAACGACGAAGCAAAGTCAACACGGCCAAGAACGAAGCCCTTCCAGTCTTGCATCTCATGACATGTAAGCCCCTGCATGGCGAGCTGCAGTACAGCCGACCTCAGATAGCAGCATGATGTGCAGTCCAGGACCCAAGATTGCACGACAGCAAACTCACAAAAAAAAACAATAATAATAATAATAAAAATAGTGAATAATAATAAATAAATAAAAATATAAATCATCAAACTTCTGGCTGACCCGCAACGAGGCGGTGGCAGTGGAGGCGCTGCACCGGCTGCAGGCGGCGGCGGGGATGCCCCGGCCGCTGAGGACGGAGCGTTTTCTATTCGGGTTTCTCTTTTATATTATATTATATTATATT